TCTGTTGCTTGTGCCGAGAGAGAAGAACAGAATCTGAGGAAAGAATCCAAGGATAAGGAGGGTCTAGAAGTGTACGGAATGTTGAAGGAAGGAATAGGGTTCAAGGACTACCTACATGGACCAATGGATGCAGGAACAAAGCTTGAGGTCAAATTCAGGACCGGGGGCACAGGCCTTCGAGAACATGTCGACGAAGACATAGGACGGTAGACGACGAAGACGACGAGTTCAAATGTGATTGCGGCTTCGAATGCGAAGACCGTGTTCATGTAGTCGCGGAATGTCCGTTGTACAAGAAGGAGAGGGAAGTGTACGTGACTGAGCTGGGAGAAATAGATGGAACGTACAGGGAGATGTTTGAGGCATGGAATAGAGAGGAAAGGACGGTAGCTGTACTGGGGCATAGAAGGTGGGTTGAAATGGCGGAAGGGATATCGTTAGGATAGGCAGACTAGGGAAGGCATTTTTGAGCCACCTTTGGCAAAGCAGAAAGGAGCGATTGGCCATCGGTGCTCGGTCCTGTGGAATAATACTCCGTCCTCTCGAGGCGTGGTCAATGGTCTAACCGCTAAGGCATGCAAAACATAAGAGTACGCCCCGCCCCCCGCGCCCCGCGCCCCGCCCCCCCTCCTTCCAGATCACGAGCGATACTCGGGCTTTACCTCAGTCGCCGGAAGCGAAGAAGGTCGGTACGACCGCGATGGTGTCCCCGAGAACGAGCAAGCCCTGGCATCCCCAGCAGGCGTTCCCGTCGTTTTTCCGGGGATGGGGCCTCCCGTCGCTCGCGGAGCCCCCCAGGGTCGTAACCTCTTATCCCCCGTCCCCCCGGGCGCCCCGGTGTCCTCGGCAGCGGCAGCGGCGGCGGCGGCATCGGCGGCGGCGGCCTCCGCTGCGTCTTATGCCGTCGCTGCCGGCGCTCCTCCATCGTCGGCAGCCCCCCACTCGGTTAGCCCTAGACTACTCTCAGGGACTTCGGCGGGGTCGCCGCGTATGGCAGTGGTGGACGTGGGCAGTAGGGATCGCGGGGTGCTGGAGGTTTCCGCCGAGGAGCCGGCGGGCGGGAGGGGGATGGAAGAGGAAGAGGCCGCCCTCGAGCAGCTCATGAAGAAGGCGGAGAAGGCGGCGAACGCCGCGGAGGCGCAGAAGGCGGCCGTCGCCGCCAACAGGGCCAAGGAGGTCGCGAACAGGGCGGCGAGGGCGGCCGCCGCGGCCGCGGAAGCCGCGCGGAAGGACTCCGACGCCGAGTCCGCGAAGGCGGAGTCGCTGTACGCGGACTCCGGGTTCGGCGTCGGGTCGGTGCCAACCAAGGAACTTCAGGACCGGGTGTGGAAGGCGCGGGCGATGCACGTCGGGGTTCCCCCTAGGGTAGAGATGTCGGTTATCTCTACGGGGGGGGGCGGAGGCGGAGGCGGCGGCGGAGGCGGGGGCGGGGGCGCCCTCGGTGCCGGCGGCGAGGACGCCGCCGGGCTGCTGATGTCGGAGTCGAGAACCTCTAGAGGGTCGCGAGGTTCTCGCGACCCGAAGAGCACGGATAGGAAGAGCAGGCGGCGCTCGGGGCGACGGAGGAGCAGCAAGGACAGCGAAGGGAGGCAGTCGACCGAGTGGGCGGAGGGCACGCCGGGGGGGCAGGGGTCCCCCCGGGGCACCGTAGCCTACGGGACTCCCAGCGGTATCGGAAGGGACAGCAGCGTCAACGGGAGCAGCCAGCGCCGGAGGGGGTCTCGGAGCCGACGAGATTCGGACGGCAGCGTGCGGGAGGACCAAAGTGTTGGCTCCGTCAGCGGCTCGGTGCCAGAGTCCCCCTCCGCGCTCGTCACCCCCGCGGTAAGCTTAGCCGTTGCCTGCGCTCGTTCTGCCCCAGTGTGTGTCTGCGTGCACGCGCTGTTCTGTTGTTGTGTCGCCGCCTTCGGCGTTCACACGGGCAAGCGTGGTCGTTTTTCTCTGAGCTGTTTTTTTCAGCAACGCGGTTGGCGGTCGAATATTCCGGGAGAAGAGGCCGGTTGTTGTTCTCATCGTCCTGTTCCTTTCCGGAAGTGAAGCCAGCAGAAAAGTTCGCGCGAAATAACGAAGTCTCGCCTCCGTCTTGTCACCCCCTTCCCCTGTCACGCGTCAGGTAAGGTTGGTCTCAACCATGCCTTAACAACCAACAGCACCGTAACTTCTGTTGACATGTAACTGCACATCATTTCCCCGCGTGTGAACAACGCTTTGTTATGTACCACCAACAGCGATCTAGATCGGGTCGAGCGGGGGCTCCGCGGTCTGCAGGCAGGAAGGCGCACCGCCCCCGAACCAAGAAGGTAAAAAAGAGAGGGTCAAAGTAAAAAAAGAGGATCGTGCGACTGGTCATCCGTTGCTGGGTACACATCACACACCTCCTGTTTGACGTGCCGTTGGGTGTTGCGTTGTGAACACGCCGGTCTCATCTCTTGGACAGCAGTACCATTCTCTTCGACGTTGAGAAGCGTGATGGCAATGTTGGGACCACGTGTGTCAAGATTTCTGTTTCGCGTCTATTGGTGCTTGAGACCACAGCGAACAGGGCAATGTGAGACAGCAACCGGAGCATGCACCTCTTTGCTCCTCCTCGTCCGGGCCAATACAGCACGCACGCTGTAGGAACATGGGGG